CAAAATCGTACGACTCATACAGAACAATCGCTATCACTTGACTTAAAGGGTTTTTGCCCTTCTTTGCCTTTAAAGGAGTTCTCTTTGCCGTGCTGATGTTGCAACATGCCTTAGGACAATTGCCTATCTCACACTGCGAATTTTTTCTAAGCTCTATACTAAACATTAAATCTGAAACGAAAAAAGATCTGAATAAAAATGAACACAAAACAATCAGCTTTAAAAAGGACTGTCTGGAAAATGTAAATGAAAAAGAATGTTAACAACAAAGACTTTTTCACACCCAACCCAGTTCCGGAATCAGAATCAACGTTGAGTTTAAGCAATCCGAATAAGCCAATTGGACAATAGTGCCATACAGTTTAAAATTTTTCCCACTTGTGACGAATGACAGATATCTAATTTTTTTGCAAACGTTGTAATAAATATGGCGAGATAAAATTCGTGTCAATATTGGCTATAATGTGGCCAATAGAATCTTCCTGCCTCAGAAATATAGACAGATATAGGCTCAAATTCTGTCCAGTAAAAATGACAAGAAAGATACATGAAAAGTGCCGTAGAAGCATGAAAAATCGATTATTTCCACTATCGATGTGAGTTGGGAAAGGCAAAAACGTCTTGGCCTTTGGCCGCAAACTTGAGGACAATGTCCGTGAATGGTGTAAATCCGTCGAAAATTAATACCTCATCTCGTTACACACACACAGACACACACACACATCCTGCCTTTTATAGATAGAGATGTTATTAATAGTAAAATTGCCTATTTAGTAATAGTGGTGTCTTTTCACCAGACTTACTCAACCTATACAATGAGAGGATTCTGAGAGAATTAGAAGTCCTATCGGGATTCATTCTTGGCGGCCACAATCTTAACAACAGTAAGATAGATGACAAAGTGCTGGTAGTAGATACGGAAAGGAAACTACAAGAATTCCTACAGAAGGAAAGCGAGAAGAAAGGATTAAAGACCAATTGTAAGAAAAAACATGTTTGTTAGCAAAATGGGTAACCCAATATGTAAATTACAAATTGGGGATACAAAAATCAAACAAACATTTAAATTTCTGGGAAGAGTTTAACAGAGGACGGAAAATGCGACACTGAAATCCGAAGTCGCATTTTGGATAGCCAAAGATCAATTCCAAAAGCTAAACAAAATATTAGGAAACTGAAAAAAAAAAGAAAAACATTAGAAACAAAGAAAATAGTATTGAACTGTTACGTGATTTCATTCCTCTTGTATGACAGTGAATGCTGGACAGTCTCTTCAAAGATGAACAGGAGACTTGTGACAGCAAAAATGTTGTTCTACAGGAAGATGTTGAGGATAACATGGATCGAAGACGTAGGCAACGATGAAAATGGACACAAAAAGGGAACTTATGCTTAACATCAGCGAGAGGCAATTGAAATTTTTTTGGCACACAATGAGGAAAGAGGGCTTAGAAAAATCTTATACTCTCAAGACAAAATGAAGGTAAGAGGTACTGAAGAAAACAATGCATATCTTAGTAAATAGGTAACGGGAAAAGACTTAGGAGAAATAACAAAAACAAGTAAAATTTATTAAGAGCTATAACGGACAGACATTGTGGAGAGTCATGATCGTCTGCGTCCTTAAGGAACATGGCACAAAGAAGTGAATGTAGAGACATATTTAAGGCGATTTACGAGAATTTTAAAAAAGTAATTGAACACTTGTTTCAGTTTAGATTAACAGTCTAAATGTTTAAAAAAGTTTTTTCAGATTTATATTTTTGGCAAAAGAGGATGAAGAAAGGAAACTTGAAACGTCGTGTATATAAAAACAAAGTTAATGTTTTTCCAGTTCTTGAGAATAATTCAGTGATTTTTTACGCCGTCTGGAGGAGGAAAACTTCAAAATCTACTGGGGCAACGTCGAGGGTAGATTTCGAATCTAGTGTTATTTTTCTAAGAGATAAGTTTAGATGAGCTTCAGTTCTCTTTATTCAGACACGCTACTTCCACGGAGCTGAGTGACTCCACTGCCATTTCCACCGTATTCTAAGGAGAAAATGTCGCTCAAACTGCTTTTCCTGATTTGTGCCGAAATTTCAATTATGGCCGAAAATTGAGTATTTCAAATTACAAACTCTGCTCGGAACAAACGAGAAATATTTAATTTTTCGACGCTTTGAGTTCAAAATTTTATTGTGCAAAAACTAAAAACGGTGATTGTTTTTATCAAAATATTTTTGTTATTTTCTCGTTATTTTCAGCATGATTATTTACACCTAAATGGAACTATTCGGGAAATTTTTATAAAAATCTGACATTCTAGGGGTGGGCTCAAAAGATTTTTGAGGTTTCGAGTTGAAATTAGGTTCTGTAAAATCACGTGAATACTTTAGAACATCCATTCTTAACCTTTTTTTTTCAATTCAAGGGTCGAGAGTAAATTATCCTTTTTATCCTTATAATAGCAACATTTTTCCTACCATTTCTCATTCGTAAATGTTATGAAATAAAATAATCATTTAAACCATAAACCCAAGCCTTGATTTGCTCTCACAGGAAATGCCAAATGCAAGCAAGATGGACAGATGAAAACAGAGAATAACCTACCTAACGAACTTATGTAAGTTAGAGAAGTGTGGTAACATTTCTCTATTCGAGTTCATTCAGTTGTTTCTTTCCTCTCCAATATTTATCTTGCTTTCGTGCCATTCTTAATTCAGATGTAACAGGCCGCCATCTTTATTTTTTCAAATGTATGTTTTTTTCTCCGCGTTCATTGCACGTTTTGCAGCTATCGCCATTTTCTATTTCCTGATGAACTTGTGCCTCCATTTTTAATCCAATATTATACTGCGTGAAATATATAGAGCGAAATTCCAATTGCTTTTATAAATGCAATCATCAGAGTTAATGATGAAAATCCAGTCGCGACATTAATTAGTCTAAGCTGTCCTTAGTAATAAATTGTAGAGAACACTAAACAAAGCATCTCTGATTCCATATTATGAAGCTAACGATAAATAAAGCAGATTATCTGTAACGATTTTAATTTGACATTTGTGGCTAATAATTCAATTTTGTATTTACTTCATGGCAGAACAAATAAATCCCGTCATATATAACATAACATAAAATTGAATATTGCAGCTACATTTAGTCTGATGCTTCTTCTGTGTATCTAAAAATAATTTACAAAATCCATCAAAATTTTATCGGTCCTGACCTGATTTTTCTCGTCTTTACTCGCTATTCCATTGATGTAATGTAGTTTTCTTGTGATTTTTTAAAAAATAAATATTTTCATAGCAGTGCCTCGACGTCATGAATATAAGGGTAGTAATTGATTGTTGGTTAGGTTTCACCATTTTTATTGTGAAAATTGCTAAGTGCAACCGTAAGTTCTGTTGCAATAGTTCCTTCTTTCGCACTTCGCGCCTGTGGAACTATCTTGTAGCTTTTTGCTCTTGTATCAGCTACGATCTTCAAAAATTTAAAGGCAACGTCAATCGCTTTTCTACTTAAATCTTGTTCTTTTTTACTTCTTTTTTCTCAGTATGCTTTTCTCAGTTTCCTTCAATCCCAGAAAACCCTTGCATCTTAGTGACTTTATCGCCTTGCTTGGGGTGAAATCATTAAAAAAATATAATGGCGAAAAAGGCTATCAGAGCAAAATCTTGAGTATTATTAGAGAAAGTTAGGCCAGTTGATTATGCAAATCATTCAATTATGGACAAAACTTTGGAAACAAATATCAGAAGCTTCAAAAATACAAGAAAACATCAGATATCGTTGCAGTTTTTGTCTTTCACTTCGTGATTGACACAATAAAGAAATTTTGGAATATCTTTCAATATATCTGTTTCAACGGAATATACCGTGAAAATATTCTTTCATTCTTGTGATATCCAGCCTTCTTCAGGTAGTTGGAATTTCGAACTGAACCCTTTATTTCGATCACTGGTGTAGACTGTTCTAGTTCCACGTGCCATGTCTGATGGATGTCAGTTATCAGTTATCTCCTGCTAATTTTCCCACTGAAAGTTCTCCACTGCCTTAACCAGGTATTGAACTCACCTTCTTTGGGTCTGTCACTGGATCTAACCAACGCCTTTATCCACTGTGCCATGTGTCCTTGAGGATAAAGGCGTTGGTTAGATACAGTCACCCAAAGAGTGTGAGTTCAATACTCGGCTATGGCAGTGGAGAACTTTCAGGGGGAAAATTAACAGGAGATAACTGATAACTGACATCCATCAAACATGGCACGTGGAACTAGAACAGTCCACCCCAGTGAGTGAAATAAAGGGTTCAGTTCGACATTCTAGCCACCTGAAGAAGGCTGGAGCATACAACGACCGTAATAAATATGGCGACAAAGATGAGGACAATAGTCCAAATAATGTAAATAGTGTACATAATACCTCATCTCGGAAATATAGACAGACTCTGAAAAGATAACATATAACGCTATATCAAGATTATTTTCGATTTTACAGGCATTTACTTTATTTTCGATTTTACAAATATTTCATGTTCAAATCTAAAGACATTGTGTGACTCCACGATGATTATTATTATTAATAAGATGTATGTATCAAAGGTCAGCCTATTATTCTCATCCTTGTTACCAAAACTTTTCGGTCGTTGTACCCCCCGGCCTTCCGCTGGTATATATCGATCTGATAGGGAATTTTGAACTGAACCCTTTTCGTTCGCTTGGGATGTCATCTAGTTCGTATTCAGTACTATTCAGTTATTTCTCGACCCAGGAATTGAACTTACGATCACTATAGTTATTTTCCAAGCATAGCTGTGTCACAAGGCCGAAAGTATGGGGCATCTAGTGAGGATCGAACTCACTTTTCAGTTGTAACTGATCTAGGGAGACAAGCTTGCTAACCATTACACCACGCCGAGATGGCCCTTACGATCACTGTATCATCAAATTCACATACCAAGGTTTTTTTATCTACTCTACCATTGTCCCGTATTATTGGCTGCAAATTAGGTTGCAAATGTCGTCTGTCATGTTTTTGACTACTGCAGTTGTAGCTGCGGTGCATATTTTGATTGCTGGTGGTGGTGGGGGGGGGTTCAAGACTTGATGTCATTTGTTATTCTTTATTAGCGTCTCCCATAAGATATTTAATTTTATGCCAGGCCTAGGACCCCTCATATCATCGCATATGCGTTGATTCTTTCAGACGTCTGTAGAATAACAATAATAAACAGCACTTACCGGCGTAAAGGTCTCAGCTAGCGTCCAGCTGGCAGACAAAAATAAAGCAGGTTGTAACTTAATACAAACCCTGCAAACTAACTGATGAATCAAGCTGGTATTTATATAGAAATACCTCTACTCAGGTACCAGCAGCCAATCACAGCCCAAGCAATGGACTATCCCACTTTAGCACAATGAGATGCTCCATGGCAACATAAATAGCTCTCTTTCTAAAGGTTGGATTATTATTCACTTAGCTTGCTCCACAACTGAGTGTTTATCTCTACCACGTGATTTTTCTACAACGTCTAGCTTTGTTCTCCTTTCGTCAGTATTTTCACTTCATTCCACAGAGGCTGATGACTATCGCTTCCTCTCCATACATAAATATAAATACCGTATTTTCCGGATTATACACCGCGACATTTTTCTCGAAATATATAGGGTGCGGGTTATATAACGGTGCGGGTTATATATGAATTGTGTCTTCGAACCTTGAGTGGACGGGGTTAGGGTTAGGGGAACATAGCTTCATAAAAACAGGTCGCCAGCGTCGAACTAGTTATCTCCAGATGGTTGAGTTTATAGGAGTGCGGGTTATATACAGCTGCGGACTATAGTGCGGAAAATACGGTAATGTAAATGATAGCTCCTCATCTTAGACATTCAGGCAAAAATGTATCAACGGTATTTATTCCTTTACAGATTTTTATTTCATAGCATATCTCATGTACATATTGAAAGAAAATATACGACACCAGTATATTAATATTCATGTTGGCATCTAAATCCAATCTGTGACTCCACTATTATTATTATTATTATTATTATTATTAGTAGTAGTAGTAGTAGTATTAAGGTTATTAAAAGCTGTTTTTGTTTACAATGAAGTTTACTCCCTAAAAGGCCCAAGAGCCACACTAGCTAGAGAGTTACAAAGTAAGAAGCACTGTGTAAGGGGATTTGTACAGAAGATAGCGGTTGGCCCGAGACTTGAACACGTGAAGAACATAATGCTCGAGGAAGCATCTAGCTGATATTTACTTCTTTCCAATGTCATCCTATTGAGGTAAAAGAAGAAGAGGTTGATAGAGGAAAAAATGGGCTGATAGCATTACTGAGTCGACTGGCAGTTCATTCACTGAGACTCTGGGAATAAGGAGAGAGTTGATCATTTGCTCAGCTGTCATCGAATTCTTGAAATACAGTCGTTTTACAGCAAAAAGTAATTTTTATATCGGAAAGAAATCGAAGGGTGAGACTCAAAGAGTAGCGAATACGCACTACACAAACATATCAAAATTCTTCCTCTATCCTTTCTTTTACTTTCGTGTACTAAATAATAATCTTTTACTTTCGTGTACGAAAAAAAAGTTCCGGTAAGATTAAATTATCGTCTTAATATAATTTTTATTTAATTTTTTTTACAAATAATTTTACTCTGTTACAGACGGCTTAGGTTGGCCGATAATTAAAAATTACTGGTAAAAAAAGCGTAGTCGTGTAAGTCTGACAGTAATCGATTGTTTTATTTAATATATAATTTCAAAAATCACGAAGACAGAAATGGCTGGAAGAATTTAAAGTATCAACATGCCTCTCGCACCCAGATTGCTCAGTAAGGCAAGCTAGTTCGTGGTGATGACCTACTGTCCATTATATAATAAAGTGAGACAAAGAAATTAATTTTTGCGTCGTTGATGCACACTATAATATAGCATTGGAGACGTAAAGAATTTAAAGCCAGGCACGACACGAAACGCAATACTTCGCTGCAGGATTATATGGTCCCACGTTTATTAAACTTTTGTAACAATTACCTGTGAAACTTTAGTTTGTACTGTTGTAGTAGCCCAGATCAATTCCCTCCCAGAATATACCCGGGTAGTTTAACCTAGCTCGGAATAAATTCCAGTTTATAGTTGAAGCTAGACCATTTCTTTTTATCTCGGTGTATAAATAAAATATACGAATTCCTCGAGTGCTTTATAGCTCTTTTATTTGCTATTTAGCATCAAAAATGCTTGTGTGATAGCGTCAGCCTGTAAAATGGTAATAACTCATTCGACTGTAATCAGGTATCTAGGTTTTTAAAAAAGAACTTGTAGACTGTAAGAACAAAACAGTGAACACTCACGGAAATGGCCACTTTGCAATCATATGTTTACCAAAATCAATAGGCGTCCAAGAATTATGTTTACTAATGTACAAACCAAGGAATTGGTATTTGCTCGAAAGGGAATGTAACGAACGAGTGGAATTCGAAGTCGGCTTGCGGATTTCTCCAAAGGGTATATATATATATATATATATATATATATATATATATATATATATATATATATATAAATATAAAATATATAGGGTGCGATGGATAAATTGTCGTCTAAATGCCGAAAAAATAAACGAACTACATTCCATAGTTCGAAATTTTCTAACCTTCACGGCTAAGGACATCCATGCCACGCACATCGTAACGAACCACCCTCGTTCCCTTCGTATTGCTCTGGTGAATCTCACTCGAGCAGCTTATTCGCACGAACTGCTGCTTTGTGGAACCTACTCCCAAGATGATGCTTCCCCGATCACAACATTATTAGCCTGTTCAGTCTAGGGTTAACCGTTATCTTCACCTCATAAACTGTGCCTCTTAATTAGTGACCCACTACCTCGAGTGACTCTTGGGTCTTATATAGAGTGGACATTATTATAAGGAAAGTCTACAAATTCGTTAAAATGTACTCGTTCGATTGTAAACAGGTATCTAGGTTTCTACAAAAGAACTTGTAGACTGTCCGAAGAAAACAACTGTGAACAATCACAGAAATGGCCATTTTACAATCATATCTTTACCAAAATGAATAGGCGTCCAAAATAAGCAAAACAATGCATTGGTATTTGCTCGAAAAGGAATATAACGGAAGACTGGAATTCGAACTTGACTTGACGATTTCTCCAAAGGTGCATACATACATACTTACATGTGTGTGTGTATGTATTTATGCATGCATGTATGTCTGTATGTATACAGTCTTCAGCTCTTCGAATCTTAACATTGTCCGTTTGTCAGCAATTCGAATATCACCATAGTCAATTTGTCAGCTCTTTGAATTTCACCATGGCCGGTTTGTCAGCTCTTTGAATCTCATCATGATCATTTTGTCATCACTTCGAATCTCATCATGGTCGATTTGTCATCTCTTCGATTCTGATCATGGTCAGTTTGTCAACTCTACGATCTCACCATCTTTGATTTATTAGCTATTTGAATCTCCCCATGGTCGCTTTGTCATCATTTCGAATTACCCGATTTACGCTTTTGTAAGGAAGGCAACATCTTGACCTTATCGGTCCAGGGAGGCGATCACAACAATCAAGTTCAAGTTTAGGGTTAACCTTTTTTTCCCCGGCATATCCCCATAAACTCTACCTCTTATACTGTAACCTTCTATCTCCAGTGGCACTTGGGCCTTGTACAATGGGAACTTCATTGGTAAAAAGGTCTACAAAGTCGAAATTATAGCTGATATGACATCCTGCTGTAAACAGGTCCCTATGTGTCTAAAAAGGAACTTGTAGACTGTACGAACAAAACAACAGTGATCATTCATGAAAATAACCATTTTGCAATCATATGTTGAACAAACTCAATAGCCATCTAAGAGTCAGGATTACGAAGGCGCGAATCAAGGAATCAGAATAAAATTGAGGATGGGTGTTGACACTAGAAATTTCCGTGGGTAGATGGCCATCATGTATCTTTTAATATCTATTCGAAACTAAATATATCTAAAGAAATACGGAAGTACAGAATGTGATTTCCAAGCAACTTGTTATAACAAATACCATATGATATTATTGCTGGCACTTAAATCTCTGTTTACTTAACGGGTTTTAGAAAAAAATGGAAAATGACATCAGGAATATACAGTTGAAGTTCCTAGGACATATAATGAAGAAAGAGGGATTGGAAAATTTGATACTCATAGGACAGATTGAAGGCAAGAAGTACGGAGAAAAGCAACACATAACCTACCTAGCGAGCTTGAGTAAATGGATGGTGAAACAAAGTTTAGGAGAAATAAGAAAAAGAAAAAAATTATTAAGGGCGACAAAAGACAGGAAATTGTGGAGAGCCATGATCGCCAGCATACTCAAGAATAGAAGTAGCCTAATTCATATCAGATGTATGGGCTGAGAGTTACTAGGCTGTTACTCGGGAACGATTATTTTGATTTGAAAACATCTCAACCGGCATGACTATTACAGACGTCATTTTTATTTGATATGAATGAATACTGTCCTAAGCAAAGCCTATTTAAAAGCGAAAAAAAAAAAAAAAAAGAAAAAGGTAAGCGTCTTTTTAAATCTGCCTTTTGTAAGAAATATTTTGGGAGTTTGCTTTCATTTAACTTATAAATATTTGCGATCATCTAAGTAAAACTTTCAAAAGCCGATGCGGAAAGAATAAATATATTAGGCTTAGATAGATTTTTTTTCTTTCTTAATCCTTTCTCCTTATAATTCCAAATGATCCCATATTAATCCTCTAGAAAAATCGATTTAAGTAGAAAAATAATAAAAATAAAATCTAATGAAAATTATTTATTCGGTGTAAAGTCAAGTGATACCCCAAGGCTCGAATCTTAGGATTTATGGAGGTATCTAGAATTCTTAAAAAGATCATCTTGGAAAGAGCATGGGAAACCTACAATGAAAACGGTTGGCTCAAAAACATTACATTTTTAAAACAATGACAAAGATAACTATATATATAAGTTTCCAAGGGGACAGAATCCAGGTATAGCTCAATGTCCAGGACAGAGCAAGAATATAATATAAAAGGCTCAAACACTAATATTCCATGGTTAAAAGTTATTACATAGGATTCGTACATAGAATTTGAAATATTAGATATTACATGTGAAAATGACTCACAAATTTTATTTTCATTAAACAAAGCAACATTTTTCTTTCAGTTAGAACTAAGATACTATTAGTTAATGATCATTTTCACATACGAATTTTAATTTTAAAACTCTTAAGTGAAAATGGTCATTAACTAATGGTATCTTAATTCCAATTATATATATATATATATATATATATATATATATATATATATATATATATAAAGGCTTATTTCCACATCATGGGGAAACGCCGGTTCACCTAAGATCACCGAAGTTAAGCAACATCAAGCCTGGTCAGTAAGTAGAGAGAACTCTTTGGGAATACCAGTTGCTGTAAGTTTGGATATGTTGATAGTGTAAGAATTGATAATCGAAGAACCGACTTCCAATTCCAATCGAGTTCATTACATTCATCTCCGCTCAAAATCTTTGAAAAAATGGTAATGAATCTATCTCTTCTCCCCCAGCTATGGGTTAATTAGTAGGATCTGTATCAGTAAATTTTTTTATCTAAAAAAAATATTTTCTGGCTTTAAATAACCTGAAAATATTGATAAGGTATAAAAAAATTAAATTTCTACAGAAATTTCAAAAGTCATGCGGCAGGTGTCTAATATGGCGTTGGACGCCCTCTAGTAAGGTGAGTTGCTGCAATCTAGCATGGATTCCTCAGCAGAGTTATTGAGCTATGTCGTCGCGGGGATCTCCACGTCTTCCTCTCATATTTGCGTGCGATAGACGCCCCATAAATGGTTTGATAGGGGTCACCATTCGCTGAAAGTCTGCAGAATGCTTATCAAACGAATTCTGGATCACTTTGGTCTAATGACACGACGCACTGGGTTGAAAAAGCATTACTTCATTAACAAGAAGAGTTAAAATTAATACATGTAAGATACCACAGCTATAGTCAGCCTATGAACTTTTCAGCCTACCATCGTATCTATCTATCTATCTATCTATCTATCTATCTATCTATCTATCTCACAATCAGTTCATTTTTTATCTATCTATCTATCTATCTATCTATCTATCAGTTCATTTTCTATCTATCTATCTATCTATCTATCTATCTATCTATCTATCAGTTCATTTTCTATCTATCTATCTATCTATCTATCTATCTATCTCACAATCAGTTCATTTTCTATCTATCTATCTATCTATCTATCTATCTATCTATCAGTTCATTTTCTATCTATCTATCTATCTATCTATCTCACAATCAGTTCATTTTCTATCTATCTATCTATCTATTTATCAGTTCATTTTCTATCTATCTATCTATCTATCTATCTCACAATTAGTTCATTTTTTAACTATCTATGTATCTATCTATCTATCTATCTATCTATCTATCTCACAATCAGTTCATTTTTTATCAATTTCTATCTATCTATCAGTTCATTTTTTTATCTATCTATCTATCTATCTATCTGACAATCAGTTCATTTTCTATCTATCTATCCATCTATCTATCTATCTCATCTATCAGTTCATTTTTCCATCCATCTATCCATCTATCTATTTATCTCACAATCAGTTCATTTTCTATCTATCTATCTATCTATCCATCTATCTCATCTATCAGTTCATTTTCTATCTATCTATCTATCTATCCCACAATCAGTTCATTTTCTATCTATCCATCTATCTATTTATCAGTTCATTTTCTATCTATCTATCTATCTATCTATCTCACAATTAGTTCATTTTTAACTATCTATCTATCTATGTATCTATCTATCTATCTATCTATCTCACAATCAGTTCATTTTCTATCTATCTATCTATCTATCTATCTATCTCACAATCAGTTCATTTTCTATCTATCTATCTATCTATCTATCTATCTATCTATCTATCAGTTCATTTTCTATCTATCTATCTATCTCACAATCAGTTCATTTTCTATCTATCTATCTATCTATCTATCTATCTATCTATTTATCAGTTCATTTTCTATCTATCTATCTATCTATCTCACAATTAGTTCATTTTTTAACTATCTATCTATCTATCTATCTATCTATCTATCTATCTATCTATCTCACAATCAGTTCATTTTCTATCTATCTATCTATCTATCTATCTATCTATCTATCTATCTATCTGTGAAGATAAAGAAGTGGCTCTACATACCTAGCTATGGAAAACGGTTCACCTTACGCACATTCATTGCAGGACAAAAATACATTCCATAGCAAGATGAAGTGTTAAAACGAAAACCAGCCACATAATTCCAGTCCCGAATAATAAAACAATGCGTATAAAGATGGAAAATTCAATATTCTTGTCACTGATGTACTATTAGTGACCAGTAGAGGGCGCTGGAAACATTGCATCAGGATTCGTTCAATGGCAATAAAAACCTTAATTGTGACAAAGGATATAATATTCGCTCTCTGTGAAATATATCAAAGCCGTAAAAGTATGATATTATTTCTTTGCAGGATAGTTTTCTTTTATTTATATCTACCACTTAAAATATTGTTATATGAGCCAGAAGGTACGAGAACACGAATGTATATGTAGTCAATCCTGATATTCTAATAGGTAGATAGATAGGAAGAAATTTAGATAGATAGATAGATAGATAGATAGATAGATAATGAACTGATTGAGATAGATAGATAGATAGATAGATAGATATGAAAGAATGAATGGAGATAGATAGATAGATAGATAGATAGATAGATAGATAGATAATGAACTGATTGAGGTAGATAGATAGATAGATAGATAGATATTGAACAGACTGAGATAGATATACAGATAGATAGATCATACCTAGAAAATAGATAGATAGATCTTAGATTGATAGATCATCCTTAGAAAAGATAGATAGATAGATAGAGAAATGGATAGATAGATAATGAACTGATTGAGATAGATAGATAGATAGATAGATAGATAGATAGATATGAAAGAATGAATGGAGATAGATAGATAGATAGATAGATAGATAGATAGATAGATAGATACATATTGAACAGACTGAGATAAATAGAAACACAGAAAGTGAACAGACTGAGATAGATAGATAGATAGATAGATAGATAGATAGATCATATTTAGAAAATAGATAGATATAGAGATAGATAGATCATAGTTAGAAAATAGATAGATAGATCATAGTTAGAAAATAGATAGATAGATCATACTTAGATTGATAGATCATCCTTAGAAAATAGATAGATAGATAGATCGATCTTCTGTGTAGAGTCCTTTCAGGATGTGCGCGATCATGACCCTCCACAACCTTCTGTCGTATGCGGTTCCCTTTGCGAAATATCCCGCACCTTGTTCCAATAACACAAGCTTGTCAGGCAATTGACTCGCTGTCTTATCCTTGCCTCCAACATGCCACATGAGTGTTGAGTTTTTCAAGCCTTTCTTCCTTATTATGCGTCCAAGGAAATGCAGCTGTTTTTTCGTGATTTTTGAGTTTTCTTTCTGTTAAGACTTCCTTGTTTCTTATTCGCTCCGTCCATGGAATTGTCAGTATTCTTTTGTAGAACTAGGTTTCTGCTGCCTCTAGTTTTGTAATTTTCTTTCTTGGGGAGATTTTCCAGCATTCACACCCACGTATGATGATAGATATCACATAGTAATCTATCATTCTTTTCTCCTTTTCTAATGAAGTTTCCCGTTTCTCGGTATCTTGCTTAAATAGATTGATGGAAATTATTAAAAATCTTGGTCATTATTGCAATTTAAATCCCGGCTGAAGTCATTAATAGATAATTAGGAATTTATACAGAATTTTAATTTTTTTTTATCATTTCGCCCCAATGCAAGGCGATAAAGCTACTAAGACCTAAAGGGACTACCGAATGTGAAAGAAAAAATGGGGATAAAAGGCACTAAAAGAACAGATGATAGAATTTTCGAAGATCATAGTTAACAAGAAATCACGAAGGGGGAGAAATTTGCATAATCGATGGGTGCGAATGAAGAAACTATTAGCATAGGTCTTTGTTATGGGACCTTACCCATAATAACATAATGGACTATTCCATACGTAATAAATACTGCGTCTCAAGATGAAGCAGAGAGTTCAGTTCGAAGTCGTGCGACCGGCTGACCGGCTGAACTCTCTGCCTTCGGGCGGGGAGAAACCCGAACGCTACGCCGAAGGGCGGAGTCTCTGTCGGGGAGGTAAACGGACCGTGAACCCCTTTATACGGGTTCAAAGGGCATATTTTTGGCCGAGCCCACGGGCTCGGAGATCCCACGAGCTCGGAGATCCCACGTTAAACTGGCCTTGTGCCACATGATGTCCTCGTGGGGTTGACTAAATACTGTTCCGTCTGAAGTCTGGAGTTCAGTCTGAAGTCTGGAGTGAAGTCCGTCAGTAGTCAGTCGAGTCAGAGCCAGTCCGAAACAGAGTCGCGTTCAGACAATTACTACAAGACATTGGAATAGTAATACTGGTCGAGACTACATTGTTCTCCCTACTAAACCTGATTGTTCGTACTAACACTTTTCTATTTCTCTGTATATATTCCTGTTTGTAATATATCTGTGTTATTCCACATCTGTGTTCGAGTTCTTCTTTATTCGTTCTACCTTGGTCTATCACCGTGGTACAAGGAACCGGACCATAACAATCTTATGGTTGCATTTAGCAATTTCAAAGTAAAAATAATGAGACTTAACTGCCAGTATAGTACTGCGCTTAAATTCATGAATTACCAAAAAAAAGGGAAGCTCAATAGAACAATTACAAGGAAAATATTTATAAAAAAAATTATCCATGGAAGCTACATAACGGCGAGATGACAGGTAAAGACCAATAATATTGCCGATTTTTATCTGGATTATGTGACGAATCTATAGATATATACCAGAAGCCCAAGAACATATGCAAACAACAGTATTCAATGCGCTGATGAATGTCAGACAGACTTATATAGATGTAAAATAAATTTTGACAAAGAAAAATTATCCAGAATCACATAGGGAACGAACTTTACTAATAGCAGACTTAGTAATTGATTCGACATAATCGTTCCACTTCATGTCAGTATTAAACGTTAAACATTGTCTGGGTTTATCGTTTGTGTTGGTTGGAGATATGGGATTTGATTGAACGATAACCAGATAAATGGCACCTCAACGACGCGATAATGCGGTTGTTGTGAAACCAATATCTATGAATTATTATTTTTACGAGCAAATTTCAGACAAAATTGGTTTGTTGAATTTTTATTTATTTTTGCTGTGTTGTTGGTGATGATCATGGAGGCTTTTAGCATTTTAAATTCGGTGATGAGTTTAATTTGTTTATTTGTTCAGGAAAAATGTATCTATGTATTAGGCGTCTCATAATTGTTTCACGTAATTTCTGGTTACTGAGTTGGTTCCGCTGGTACAGTTTAATAGTATTTTTAATATTTAATAGTATTTTAACGTTATTTTTTATTTGTATTATTGCTTTTAAAAATTCCTTTGAAAATATAGTTTAATTTATTTATCGAGAATATGGTTAATGGAATTATTTGAGACTGCTTCTCTGGAAATAATAATTCACTTCCTTTGAACATTTGCCATGGAAGTAGCGACAGCCTTGCAATGTTGGGTTTGTGGCAAAGCTGTTGTAGGTTGGAGAAAATGACTTCATCCACGTGTATATACATGACTATATTAGCGACACTGCGGATTAGTTATACCGTATATATTTATAGGAAAATGCTTAAGACAGTTTGAACAACTTCAGTCTGACATGTTTAGCTAGTAAACCATTTGGCCAGATGTCTTTATTTAGAAATGAATGTATGTTCCAAACAATGTAGAGAGTAACAGTGGAAAAGGAGGACAAATATAATTTCTGACACTACGGATAATCGTAACGAAATCATTTTTTCATCTTTTCTTACATGTTGAAAGTCATGTCTGAAATTTCTCGTAGTGAGATGCCGTCTCGTTTTTTTTCTCAAAAGAATTTAGGTACAACCGATTTTTAAAAAAACCCCAAAACTTATTCTTTGTAAACGTCTTAAAACTGTGCTTAGTAATCAACACAAAGTTTTCCAGACAAATGCAAATCGAATGGGGTCATCATTGAAAAAAGATTTTGAAAGTAATCGTTTTAAAAAAATCGTGCAGTCTGTAGCCGTTTGGCTTGTCCAACAAGATAAATGCACCTTCCTTGAACTTCGGAAACCATTCACGACAGAAAATGCTACGGACCGAAACTAATTCTCTAGGCTTAATCAATAATCTTCGCTTTTGCAAGAGTTTTGCCCTACATGAAAAAGAAGAACATGGATTTTCCTATATTTTTTTCTCAAAACATGATCAGTGGAGCGATTTTTTGGGATCCTTGGTCAGTTTGTTTATCTTACATACAGGCACCATGAAAAAATGGCTTTTAACCAAATTAAATCATAATATTATTTTGTTGAGAAAGGTTTCAGATACTGAAGACATACTCGTTTATATAAATATCTATATAAATGCATGCTTTACTGATACATACACACAAATATACATTTATACAAACGCACACATATATATGCTCGTGCGCGTGTTTGTGTGCGTATATTTGAAAGTTTGTTTTAATATGTGTATCTGTGGTTTTTTATGTACATACATACACAGGCAAGGACGCATGCACACACGCACACGTGTGCTCACGCACACATATACATGCACGAACACAGACGCACACACAGACATATATATATATATATATATATATATATATATATATAAGCAAATATATGGATATAGATCCGACAGTATGAAGAAAAATATACAGAAAAAACAAACAAAAATCTTAATATGCATTTATGCTGTATTAATGTTGACTTTATATTAAGATTAATACAGCATAATTGCATATTAAGATGTTTGTTTATTTTTCTGTATATTTTTCTTCATATATATATATATATATATATATATATATATATATATATATATATTATTAAAGACATTTTTATGTTTAATGTTCTTTTTTTTTTTTTATAGATACAAGTATTTAAGTAAATGCTCTGTTTATAATAAACAGTATTAAATAACATTTACCGGCCTGAATATCCGAGAAATTTTCAGGCCGGTAAATGTTATTTAATACTGTTTATTATAAACAGAGCATTTAACTAAATACTTGTATCTATAAAAAAAAAAAGAACGTTAAACATAAAAATGTCTTTAATAAATAAATTGTCGGACTTTGTATATTGTTTTAAAATTT